ATTACAACCAGAATTTTTGATGTTGAATTTTCTAAAAATAAATAAATAATACTGTAATAATAAATAAAATATGGTCGCGCAATTCTTTCTGATCATACACCATTATAAATATAGTCACATAACAATTCCTTCTGATTTAACCATTAACCTTTGGAAAAAGAAAATTGTGCATTCTCTCCTAGATGAATTGAGATAAATAATATTAATAATGCACTCTCCTATACAAATTGAGACTTTAATATTAATAATTACATTCTCTCCTAGATAAATAAATATATAAACAAATAATTCTTTTATAATATAGTTATACATTTTTTTCCTATAATATCTATTACTTACTTTCATAAATAATATGTTGTAAACTTGGTTCTTTTGATTTCTCTTTTTAAAAATTTTTTGCTGAATCCAATCTGTATAAAATTCTTGACATGACTGTTAAATTTCTATAAAATAGTTTTTCGTAAACCTCTCTAAAACTTATTAACCAACACCCCCCATAAAGTAATGACCATATGAAAGCTTAGAGTATTTTACTCCTCTTCAGTCACTATCAGGTCTTTTAAAGCGATATTGAAAAATAATCTGAGGTTTGAAGTGAAAAAGTAACACCATTTTTGAATAGTCGTAGATTTATATAGAGAAGACCTTTCAATATGAAAGAGTATTCATTCGAAAGCTTTAATGTAGTATTTTTATTTTACTCTAACAACGAAGTTCGAGTTTATTATAAAAATAACGAGATATTTTAAAAAAAATTCATGTGACACGAATTAGAAATTTTTTATTTAATATAGAAAATAATTTGAAAGGACATGTCACACGACTGCTACTATAACATCCAAACATGTCAGCTATCGTAACTAAAATCGTCGAAAAGTACAATCTCAGCCCCAAGATGGATCTATCTGAACTTAGTCAACACACCTCAGAGTTTCTCAAGAATCTCACCGATGATAGAAAGCGGAGTCAAGCTCGACGACGACTTCGAGATGGTTTTAAATTTACCAATGAACAGGTGGGTATATTGATACCTAATCAGAGAGGCGGGAGAAATAAAACCATAAGCATTATCGAGGGTAGTTGCAAAATGGTTATAGCTTCGTCCCCAAAAGATTTAGAAGAAGAAATTATCAGAGAGATAGCAAAACGAATCTTGCAAAATAGATATGGGTTTAGTGTGAATCAAGTAAATGTCTTATTCTCTACTCAGGAAAACGAAAGTAAAACCAAGCACGAAGTGCCCTGCTCCGCAGTAAACATTGTTATCTCTAATCAGACTCCACAAGAAACTATTGGGGATATGGCGCAACGGATTTTACAGGATAAACTTAGTATTAGAGATGTAAGAGCTGAAGCTTATGCCTTAGCCCTATCAGCAAAAAATGCTAATGCTGGCTCATCACGTCTCTCCCGTCTCAGAAGAGAGTTAAAAACCCTTGGTGCTTCATTCCAAATAATCGAGGCTACGAAATTTTCAGATATTACAGAAGATGCCAACAAAATCCAGAGTGTCAATCGGAAAAAGGCTGAAGCTAATCGTATTGATTACCCAGACCACTTTACATTAGAATCGGTTAAGGAAAGGTTAGATGCATATGATATTAAAACTTCACCTGATTTACAAGCTCTCGCAGATGTTATAATAATGTTATGTATTCGTCCTGCCGAACTTACTTTACGTATTACAGATGCCGGAGTAACAGGTTACGCGAAGAACAGGGGTCAACCAGATATTCCTAGAAAATTTAGATCTATGGAGAAGGATCAAGAACGAGCTAAGGAATTGCTTACATGGATTCAGAATACTATATCTTCTGGTCGAATCGGTGATCCAGGTAAACCAGGAGTTAAATGGTTCAATAGATTTTTAAAAGGCTATGATTTAGTTCCTAAACATTTGCGCAAAATAGGGGCGGTCTACGGTGCCGTGATTCATGGTGCTAAAAATCCAGCTCATCTAATGACAATAGCTGGTGAATGTCTACGTCACTCATCCGACAACCATACTTCACCTGTGCAAAATTATGTTGTAGTAAATTACAGACCCAGAGGAGTTCCTTATGAGCAGGCAAGACCATTTCATATCTATGATCAAGATTAATTGCGCTTCTTTACTTTTGCCACATCCACAGTAAAATCTTCATCATCATTAGACGATTCAGACTCAGAAGTGTCTCTGATACATAATATCTATGGTATAGCCCCTAAAAATTAATTATCCGAACATTAGCTGTTTTTTTCGATTAAAGATATATAATATACAACCTGAGAATGATACAACTATTGCAGAGCAATGACCCAAAGGGTCTAAATATTTTTGATTTACCAGAATTACTAGAACAGATATTATATTTTTTAGAAATTGATCGATCCCTCTATCCTGCTTTATTCGTCAGCCACCTTTGGTATCACTGTGGTGCTCCTATTCTATGGCGACGCATTGAGTTTTTCAACGAAGATTATCAGCAGAGTCGGCGTGCCTTAAATATGTCTCGGGTTCTTACTCGGCGATTGATAAACTTTGAAAGAGTTATATGTAGAAAAATAAAGCCACTCTATTGCACCAAGATGATATATCTCAGATTAGAAGGTTTAAAAATCTCAGATGTATTGATTAGTACGATTCTACGCTCGTGTCCGAATATACGCTTTCTTATTCTTGATAAAAGTAAGGGTTTCAGTAATATACCAATTATAGAAATTGCAAGATTTTCTCCGAAACTACAGCATCTGAGTCTTAATTCATGTATATGTCTCACTAATCGATGTATCGCTGAAATAGTGCGTTCTTGTCCAAAACTTAGACATCTTGAGCTTGGTAACTGTTCG